TCTCTTAATTTTTGTAAGTTCAAAAAATCACTTTTAACAGTTTTTTTGTTGCAATTAATTGCTAACACATAAAAAAATGTAAACAAATCTATTGCAATAAAATATTTTTACAACAAATCTCAATTAAAAATTAAAAAGAAAAAAAAAATATAACTATTTAAAATAGATTTCATTAAAAAGAAATCTTGAATTTTGGTTTAAAAGTGCATTGTAAACAAGTCAACTATCAGATGCTGATAAATTGATACTTTGTCTTAAGGCTTTAGACATAACAGTCAAGTTTTTTACGGCCAAGCCGATAAAAAAAAAAAAAAAAGTTTTTTACGGCAAATATTTAAACCAAAATTCAACATTTCTTTTTCAATGAAAATTATTTTAAATAGATTTATATTTATTTATTTTTTACTTTATATTTGAAATAAAAATAGTTTATTAAAATATTTTTTTATTTATATGTTTTTTAAAGTTTCAACGGTTAAAAGTAATTTTTTAAATTTATAAAAATTAAGGGACTAAATAATATATATGAATGGTTTATCTACAGTGAAAATTATTTCCATTTGTCAAACATATTTTCAAAAATTTTCATTTCTAATAAATATGAGCCGGAAATTATTTTTGATAAAGGAAAAGGAAAGTGAAAAATGAAAAAAAAAAAATTTCTCTTGCCAGGCACACACAACTTTTGGCTATTTTATATTTTTCATTAATTTTCTTTTCCTTTTTCTAAAAAATAATTTTCATTTTCAAATACCACCCAAGCTCTCAGCACATTTTTTATTTTCTAATGAAATGGAAATGGAAGTGGAAAATAGCCTTGTTTACTAATAACAAACACACCTGAAATTTTTATTGAGTTTTTCAAACTTGATTTTTGGTACATTATAAGAGTACATTAATTGTAATTTTCTTCATTAATTAATTTTAAAAAATAAAAATTAATTTTAATTTTATTAATCAAATAATTAAAATCATGTACTATTTATAAAAAAAAAACCTTGGCCCGAAAAACATTATCTACCCTTCTTTTTTTTTTTTCTCATCTAAATTATGACTAAGCATTTTTTAGATGTTGATGGTATTTTTAGAACAATTTTTACATATTTCAAAGTTAATTTTTTTTTAAACAATTTTAATAACACATCTCTTATTAGTTTTATATATTTAAAGAAATTAATTTTTTAAATATTATTTTCAAATAAATCTGACTTACGAAATTAAAATTACTTATGAGTGAAGTTAATTTTTGCTGTTGATTGATTGGCTAATGTTCACCGAAAGCTGGATACAACTATACAAAGTGCTTTAATTCCCAATGTTTGGAAGCCAACAACAGTCCAATAATGTCACGTGATATAGGCCTTTTATCACGTGACTTTGAAATGCATTCTGCTTTTGAGTTTTTTTATTGTGCACATGAGGGACTCAGGACTGTGCCCCTTTCTGGAATCTGGCCTCAGTTGTGTGGTTTTGCAGTGGACAAGCATAAAAAAATGGAAATTAGGGCTTTTTCTTAGCATGATTGTTTCCTTAATTGAGTGTTTTTATAGAGGAGGTCCAATGCAACTTTGGATCTTAATAAGCAAAAAGAAAATTGATTTTGAGATAACTCTTTTATATCATTTTTTGATATAACTTGACGTATCATTTAAATGATTAGATTTTTTAATTCATGTAAAATCAATAATATTAAATATATCTATTCATTTAATGATATATAAAAATTATATTAAAATATAATATAAAAAAATTATCCATATAACACCATTTAATGATATGTGAAAATTGTATTAAAATATAATATAAAAAAATTATCCATATAACACCACTCAACCAAAAACTGCTTTCTAAGAAAAACCAAGGATTGGGAATCTGAGTTTAAAAAGGGAACAAAAAGAAGGGAAAAAAAAAAAAAGTCACTTGGTTTCTGTGTAGGGTAGGGCTGCCTAAACGTTCAGTTAATGCATTTTGGTTTTGAATTTTATTGGCATGGACTTTCTAAGGTGGAGGGATAGCAGAATCTTGAGGAGGAGTTTGAAAGTTACTCTTCAGAGGAGAGAGGAACTATATTTGTTTCATATTTTCTTGTAGATATTTTGCACCTTGCATTGGGTATATTCTCAAACACTTTATCTTCCAACCATTTTATAGCAGATAATGATAAGAATTATATGATACACACACAAAGACTTACTGGCCTTTTTTGTTTGCATCTTTTAAAAAACAACTACAAGTACATGATTAATGATTAATTTTATTGTATTTTGTTTTATTTTGAATTACATAATATAAAATAAACACTTAATCAAATGAATTAATAATTTATTTTTGTAGTGTTAATAATTATCATATTATTTGACTATAGCAAATACAGCTACCAATGCAATCTTAGCAGTAGGATATTCTTAAAAATTACAATTGTAAATTGATTGTAGCAGCAATTACTATTTAAATGTACAAAATAGTCTTATTAGATAAATAATATTTTTACATTTTAT